TATAAATATAGTCCCGTTTTACATGTAGCAAACTTTAACCAGAAGTCTCTTCTTCTATGCACTGTAAACCCTAAAGCCCGAAATTTAAACACCTTAGTAAAACAATGAGGCGAAATTATCTACATCCGGGTCCAATTGATCCCACGTTGTTAACATACCAAGAATTGCATCGGTCAGAGTCGGTATGGCAAAATCCGGCGTACCCAGCGCAATTGTCATGTGTGCACAATGCGGGTGCTGTTTTTAGGAACATTCGCCTCAATAATCGCGTTGAGAATTTGTTACGGGAAACTGGTTTTTTCCCAATAATGACACGTTTTGGTAACTTGAAACTCGACCACCACCTCATCAGTGCATTAATCGAGAGGTGGCGGCCCGAGGTACATGCGTTCCATATGCCATTTGGGGAGGTATCAATTACCCTACAGGATGTGGAGGTCCTATTGGGACTAAAAGTTGATGGTAGGGCAGTAGTTGGTAATACTGAACGAACTATACCTGAACGTTTTTTCCAAATTCAACAGTTTTTAGGCTTCACTCCACTGAACGAGGATGCTTTCTCTGGTACCCTTATAAATAAGGCCGTTTTAGAAGAACACGTCGCTGCCATAAACATAGATCAGGCAACTGATGAAGAGTTACAATAATATGTGCGCGACATTATTTTGTTATTTATGGGTGGGGTCTTATTTCCTGAAACTACTAGAAATAAAATTAAATTATATCTACTAGATATGTTAGAAGACCTTTCTACTGCTGGGCAATATAGTTGGGGATCCGCAGTGCTTGCATTCCTATACAGATCACTGTGCCGGGCGGCTAATTTTGGGAATTCTATTGCTGGGGGTTGCCTAACCCTGTTGCAGTTGTGGGCATGGGAGCGTTTGCCATGTACACGCCCTTGTAACGTTATTCCATCCATCAATCTAAACGACGGACCTTATGGTGCACGATATGCATTTTATCGAATTACAAAAAAAAAACTAAAAGATATACTAACTACAATTTTCGACTGTAGGTGGCATTGTCGACACACGTGGACCTTTACATCAACACACACTTTCAGGATATACCGGGATTTATTTGACAGATGTCAAACTGATAACGTATGGCAATGGAATATATATATATATATATACATATATACATACATACATATATATATATATATATATATATATATATATATATATGTATGTATGTATGTATGTATGTATGTATGTATATATATATATATATATATATATATATATATATATATATATATATATATATATATATATATATATATATATATATATATATATATATACATACATACATACATACATACATATATATATATATATATATATATATATATATATATATACATACATACATACATACATACATACATACATACATACATACATACATACATACATACATACATACATACATATATATATATATATATATATATATACTAGTAATTGTCCAGTGCGATGCACAGACTATTATTAATTTAACAAATTTATCAATTAAATTTTTGACGTACTCTAAATAAGCAAAGAAATTAATGTCTGTGGAAACAGAAAAACTTACCTGAGTTCTTCCGCTCCCAGAAATATTCTTCTTTCCTAGATCGCACGGTATAAAGCTCTATAGGAGATCTAAGCTCCCAAAAATATTCTTCTCCCTATTCTAGTCACGATCATCCTCCTAATTCCAACCACGACAAAAACATAATTGTAGTATTATATTGGTTGTGGATGATGACTTATTTATAATGTTGAAGTAGATGTAGATGTTCATGTAAATATTGAAACATGTGGTTATTGAAATTTGTAAGAATGTTTTATTTATTGCAGTAAATGTGAACACAATTAATGCATTCGTACTTTGCTGATGTCATTTGCAATTGGTGTGGAGATAGTAAATGCTTATATGAGCATCCTCAATAGATAAGTTTTTTAGCACAAGTTTTTAGATGACAAATAAGATAGAGGAGAGAGAAAAATATGTGAAAAAAGAAAAAAAGAAAAAAAAAACAAAGCTGAAAAAAAAATTTGACGCGCAAACTTCCTTTTCTCTCTTGGCGAGACCCACAAACTCTGAAAAAACTTGAGTCTTTGCAGGAGCACCCTACTTCTTCTCTCTCCTCCATCTCTCCATCTCTCTCTTTTAAGTTGCCATTTTTTCCTAAAAGACTGTGAACAATGCCTTAATGGGGATGCTCTTAGAAGCATAACATAAGTATTGCAATGTTAATTTTCAATTATGGATCAACAATTATTACTCAAATTAATTTTGTGAATTACTCTCCACTCCACTAAACTCTTTTATTATTATTATTATTATTCACTTTGATTTTCTTTCATCTTTATTTAATTATTTATGATGATTATGAAGTTCCTAAACCCTTGATATTCCATAACTCTCAAATGCACCAAATGGAGGAAAAAAAATTTCACCTTGATTCTGCTATATTATATATATATATATATATATATATATATATATATATATATATATATATATATATAGAAATCACCCTACGTATTATTTAATTAAATTTTTTCGAATTTTGTAGTTTGTTTGGATGCCATACAATGTAGACACGTTGCCACTCTGTTCTCGCGCCGGACAACACATTTGGACAGCCCGTGTGCCGTTAATATTTTTTTTTGCCGTCGTCCGTCGAGTGGCATTATCCAGATAGGGTTATCAGGCAGTTTGGCGGGTACCAAGACATCCCGGACCATGTTATGTACGATCCCAATTTGCACAAATTGTATGGACGGTCCAAGATTAGTGATTGGCCAACTCACCACCAACTACATGTTGCAGTTTGGGAGGATCGTTACAACAACGTGACTGCAATTGCCCCACATGCCCCGTTAGGTCCATACTGTAGTTTGGCCTACGAGCAATGGTTCTACCGGGTCGGGAGGCGTTTGATTGGAAATCCTGAACATCACCATACGGAAGGATACATTCACACATCACCGTCATACGCGGCGACGGTGACACCCGAATTATCCTCCCATAATATTTTAAAATTTTTGGAGTTCATGTTTTTCACTTTATTACCCAAATTATTGACATTATTCGTAGGTTGAAGCTTTGCGGCACATCCACATTTGTGGTGAAATGGCGGAGGAGCGCGGAGAGACCGGGGAATTTATGCATGAAATACAAGAAACATCCTGCTCAAAACTGAATCGGCTCAACTACGGCTACCTGATGGATTTTCCTCGGCTGGAGAATTACGAAGATATATATTACCAGCCTTTTCAGCAAGTGCGACACGCTGACAGACGAAGAGATGTTAACAGGCGGGGCCGTCAAGCTCAGGGTGGTCATCGTAGTCAGCAGGTTCCCCCGATGAACTACAACGCCGATGATGTCCCCGAGGAGGAACCTGAAGAACATGGACAAGGCGCACAAGAGGAAAATGTATTTGGAAACCAATATATGGGCGACAACACACAACTTCAAGTACAACAATTTCCCATACCACATTCCCCCCAACATGATGCTTACTCCATATATGCCATTGCCCTATTCTGAGGTCGGAGAATCGTCCCATGAAATGCCTGTACACGCCGGTCGTGAAATGTCCAGCTCTTCTCATGTGGTGTCTAACGTGCCATTTCACCATCCTTCCATACATGAGTTGTTTGACGCTGACGAACAGGTGGATCAATCTCAAGTGGTTAACCCTACCCAACACAACGATGCAACACTCGTACATTATGAACGCCGGAGGCCATCTCGCAATACTAGGCGCCCCCCATGTGGAACGTAAATGTATTGTAAAATTTAGGACCAAAAATATTAATTATATACTGTTGGTTTATCACCGTGGTTTATTACCGTAACGCGCCTATTCTTTACTGATACCCCTACAAAATATTGAGAACCCTAGGTGAAAAACCGAAAAGCAATAATTTAATCTATTTCATTTATTATATTTTATGATGTGACAGCAGGTACTTGCTGTCACATCTGCGTGCGGTGTCACCATTATTAATGACAGTCAATGGGCTGTCACATTATTTAGGGTGTCATCCGTGACACCCACCTTGGGGCTTGGAAAGTTTTGAAATTGTACAGTTAATAATAAAAGTAATGCGTTAAGCACACATAAAAACAATATATATAAAAATGTAAATTACACAAAGGCATACGTGGGGCAATTAATAGGCCAGAAAAAAAAACCGAAACCATTCCACTAAAGTAAACGAAAATTTCGAACGGAGACAATAACAACCACAATGAAAATGGTATCGTGGAGCGTGACATTCCTATTCACGACCATCGCTTGATACGTGAATACATTTTCTAACATCATGATTGGCTGATCGGCAAATGCCACATCTTCTTCCTTGCAGATCCATTTCGTTTGGAATTCTTCTACTGGGACGCCTACCCCGTCTTTGGGGAACACCTTGCGGTGGCAACACGGTGTAAGGTATCAAAGGCCAATACTCGTCAGAGAACAGAGGCATTATTGTTCCTTCGTAGCATTTTATATAATTTTCAAGGGAATATTTTTCCGGAACCATACCATCAGGGACTCTTCCCACATAATGGGAAGGTGCGTGAGCGTGCATACACGGTAATCCATCAACAGCCCATTGACCGCAACTACAGTAACCCGCATGCATGTTAATGGTTTCGAATTTTGGCCTTTCCGAAGGAGTTACAACACCTTCTATTGCAATTGTGTAGACCCCCTGAACGTCATCGTGTCGTTTAACTTTTGCGCGAAACTTGTATGTATCCATTTTCAACATTTCGTCTAAAATTTTCCTTGGCCATTGCAACCCGGCTTGACGCATCATCAATCCCTTTGTTCGCCTATCCGCAAACTGCAACGCCAATTTCTCTAACGTGACCTTAACAATGGTCGAGACGGGAAGGAATCGAACACCTTTCAACGTGTTGTTGAAAGATTCCGAATTGTTAGTTGTCATTAGACCATGTCTAAAACCACCATCGTGGCTAAGGGTCTAAAACCGCGGCGGTATCTCGTTCAGATAATTGTATGCCGCCTCATCAACAGTCCGAATTGTGCGCATTGTCGAATTAAAACCCCTCTCATCAGGTGCACACCCCGCTTGCCAAACCAAACTGTTTAATTCTTTGTTTTTGAATTTCGTCATTACATTGGACCGTAGATGCCGGAGGCAGTATTGTCGTTGTACCCTTGGCTCGCGCAATTCGTCAACGGTGCGAAATGCCGCGTCAATCCCGAGGTGACGGTCAGATATAATGCATATGTGTTCGCGATCCCCAAACACATGTGTTACAAACAATTTCAGGAACCACGTCCAACTATCCCCGGTCTCAGCGTCAACTACCGAGTACGCAACCGGATAGATCTCTTTGTTAGCATTGTAGCCAACCGCTAGCAATAGATAGCCTCCGTACTTCCCGTAAAGATGCGTACCGTCAATGGTAAGAATGGGCAAGCAATATTTAAACCCGTCCAAAGCGGGCTTAAGTGCCCAAAATGCGTACTTGAACGCAAACTCATGCGTTGTTGGTGTGGCCACTAATTCAAAATCAACAACAGATCCGGGGTTCGTTTGTTGTATAGCCAGAAGAAGTTTTGGCATTATATTGTACGACTCATCCCACTTCCCGTACAGATTCTCCAACGCAAGAACCTTGACATACCACGCCTTATTGTACCCAACACGCACACCCCAGTGTCCATGAACATCATTGATAATATATTTTATCTTGTATTGGGGATCCCCTTCAATTTTAGATAGAATGTAATCGGCTATGACCCTGCTCGTTAGGTTGTAGTCCGCTCCCCCTTTCGTATAATCAACCCCACATGTGTGCTCCGCATGATACTTTTTGACTTTCCACTTTTCCGTGTTGGAAATCTGGCCGGCTGAAATCATCCACTTACACTGTTGGGGATACAAACATCCTGCCTTCCAATAATTCGCCCTTTTGCACAACGTCGTGAAATGTATATGCGTACGTAGATTATGGTGGGTCACCATTGACTTCAGCAGTGCGTAACTGTCGAATACCATGCCAGGATGTAGGGAAGAAGTTCCATGTGGAACACCATGATCATACGCTTCATCGTCATCATAAAAACTCGCACCTGCCGTTGGCGTGGAAGATGATGCAACGATTAATTGTTCAGGAGGACTACCACACAAATCATCAGAAGGATCGTAATCATCATCATCGTCCCCAGAAGATTCCCAAAAACCATATATATATATATATATATATATATATATATATATATATATATATATATATATATATATATATATATATATATATATATATATTATGTAATATATATATGTAGATATATACATACATCTATTAGGTTTGTCGTTTTATATATGTTTGCCTATAAATATTTCGATTCATTTCATTTTAGTTCACATACACAGTCAACTATCTTTCGTCTACATTACACTAATATGTTTGATACAAACAGGTCTTCATTTTTTTTAATTTGTCAGTTCGAAATTCTACTTTTAAATTTTTTGACCTCAATTTACTTTTACTGTTATATGACAGTGAATTTGAGTTGGACTTTAAGTGAGTTTCAACTAAATTTCGCGAATGGTGATTGGTATGGTGCTGGAACGTAACCCCCGTAACCGAAGGAACAGTGAGGAAAAGAAAGCGGCCAATGCCTCCCCTCTGAAACAAATTCCTCCGCCGCCACATGAAGTTGGAGACAGATTCTCAAATCTTCGAATCCTACTCCACTCCTCTCCTCACAGCTGGTCTTTTCTTGGGTGCATGTACGCCCTCGGGTTGCACCTCGGGTTCCGTTTCAGCTTGTTCTCTGGAAAAAACACCAAAATCTTTTGGTGTAGATCAAATTCATTCTTGTATCAAATTCTGCTCTGTAAATTTTATTACAATGTTGTTTTTATAATGTTAGATTCGCTGCAATTCAAAATGTACACCTCCATTAACAATTGCCATCAACTGGTTGTAATTTTTTTTTGTGAAGTACAACTGACTACAATGAAATAAATTGTTCTGCGCCTATTAATACCCACAAAATCATTCATGCACTTTTCACTCTACTAATTCGCCACGGTAGCATTTAACAACCTTCTTCCAAGGACATTCAATGGTCTGCATTTTTCCTTTACTTTACCTCTTCTTTGCATTACACCTATGTGGATAAATTTATGTTTATTACTAGGGAAAGACATATGTGGTGTTTGTTGGTCGGCAACCAGGGATCTATGACAACTGGGAGGATGCCAAAGCGCAAGTACATTGCTATAGCGATAATTTGTACAAATCATTTACCTCCAAAGAAGACGCCATTCGTGCGTTCAACAATTTTACGGCTAAACATCAACACGATTTCCACCCGAACACTACAACTGCCGGTTCAACTTCAAATTCAACGCCAACAAATACAAACAAATTATCCAATGCCGAAATTTTACGTCGTGTGGAAGATGAACTAGAACGTGCGAATAACGATCATGTGATCATAATCCATTCAATCGTTGAAGATTTTAAACAACTACTTTCAAAATAAATTTACATGTATCTATATATTGTTCCAATAAACATTTGTATGCGTTTCCGTAAACATTTGATGTTGCCAAATTTTTTATTTTTGGTTTTGACAACAGATTATAACAACATCTGGGGTGTTGCAACGCGCCGACGGTGTAAACGCTCCGATCAGCAAAATTAAAAAACAAATAATAACAAACATCCAAAACAAAAATAAAAACGCAATTAAAATTTGCGTTTTTATTGTGCAGAAAACGCATTTACGACTTGCATTTTCCCCCATGCCATGATGATAACCCATCACTGACATGACAACCCATAACCATTTGCGGGCAGCCCATCAGTAAAACGCAATTGGGACTTGCGTTTCACATAAAAACGCAAGGTCTACTTGCGTTTTAAGCAACTTTATTGGGCCATCACTAACATGACAACCCATCACTACTTACAACCCATCACTGCTGACAACCCATTCGCAGCCCATCAGTATAACGCAACTGGGACTTGCGTTTCACATAAAAACGCAAGGCCCACTTGCGTTTTACGCAACTGTACTTTATAGGGCCTACACATTTAATTGAAAACTTCCTTTTTTTTTGGCCTATATATACCACATTGCGTTCGATGATTATGAGTAAAATCAATTTTTTTTTTCCACACCATTGTTACTTTAATTATTTAGTATGTGTAATTCCTTTTCTTTTTACCAACTACCTCATGCTCAACATTTCTACTTTAACGCTATACTGCGGCGTGAAACAAGCGCCCAATGAATTTCAACTAAACTTCGCGACTACGACGTTCAACAGCGTAATGTCATCCTCCACATACCCTAGCAGACATAGTTGAGTCATTGTTGGGAGCAGTATACATCGACGGGGGATGATCAGTGAACAGTTTTCACCTCGACATTCTGTACTATATATTTTAACGTTGTCTTGTAATGTTAGTGTACCTTTTTTTATCGTATTATAAGTTTTTTTTTTTTTTTTTTTTTTTTTTTTTTTTTTTTTTTTTTTTTTTTTGTATTTGTAACAACCACAATACTCACCAATATTAATATCATACTACTACAAATTTCGCACCTTGGAAAACGAATCTAGCCTTACTAAACGCAAATCATACATGCGTTTTCAATTCCTATAAATATGTCATGTCCTCTTTACTCCCTCTCCAACCTCTATCATGTTTAAACTACCAATGTATGCTTGTTACTTTTGCTTGGCAAATTTCACAAATTCCAAACACAACCACCCACGCTTTCATCTGTTTTTTATATTTCAACCAACTAATGGGAAAAAAAATTTCACCGCCGGTAAGTTGCATATTGTATACATATATATCGTGATTATATATACATATTCCGTGTTAATTATTATGATTATAATTTCTTTCACTTTCACTTTTTGCAGGTACAAACTATGACAATCGATCCGCAATTAATTCTCGCGAAAAAATTTTGATCCCCAATTAAGTCTCGCGACATATAATATTATGTATTCATAATAAATATGTCGTGAACTATAAAATATATATGAAAAAACAAGCGTGATGGATATTATGACAAACTACACAAACTGTCACTGTCATGTTTGTTTTTTCCATAATAAACTTGAATAACACAGTAACTTAAGCCAATGCTGTTGCAGTTACTGCTTCGTTATTATACCTTGGCCAGGAAATGATCCTTGCCCGACTTGCATTTCCGACAGTCAATATTGTACACATATGCCCTGTTCATTTGTAAAGTACACAAAAATTTCAATTGTACATGAACTTTATATTGAAATAAAATAGCCCGTGCGTTATTTTATATCTATGAAAACCAAATGATATATATGTTTGTTTTCAATTACTCATTAAATACGTTTCGAATGGCGTTCTACCAAAACCATTCTAACCAATGACAAATTAACCCTCGAAAAACTTGTAAAACAAACACACTCACCCGCTGCTAACAATATGTTTCGAACCGAGGCCAACCGACCTAACCATCATTCAAATAAACATTAAAAAAACTACGCAACCCAACCTTATGTTCACATTTCTTTAAAATATTAACAATAAACCCACTCAAAACTTAAAAAACACAAATATACCACTGCTGCTTAATATGGGTTTTGAACCAAAGACTACCAGCCCTCACACACATTCAAATACACTCTAAACCACCTACACAACCCAACCTTATGTGAACATTTTTCTAAAATATTCAAAATAAATCCACACAAAACTTAAGACAAAAAACTTAAAAAGGACTACTAAATATATGATTTGAACCGCGACCACGCAGAACTAAAAAACTCTCAAATAAATGCTTAACCACCTACACAACCCAACCTTCTGTTTACATTTCTCTAAAATATAAATAATAAAGCCACTCAAAACTTAAAACAAAAATAAAAAACAACTTCTTAAGATAGGTTTCGAAACAAGGTCAACTACCCTAACACACATAACTCTGGTCTGAAAAACTCAATGACCAAACAAACTATGTTCAAAGATTCGAACCCCGACCAACCTACACAAAAAACACACCCACACCAACTAAGCAAACAATTACTATGATTTACAAACCCTATTCTATACTATTAATACTTGCCAACCTAGGTTACAAAAAACGCATTTGCACAATGCGTTTTATACCTACACACCGACGCTGGAATAAGTGTAATACGCAAGTACTTCTAGCGTTTTCTTTATAATTGGAAAAACGCAATTGACTCTTGCGTTTTTCATATTTCCGGCGGAGCATCGCCGGTAAACAGTCCGCATTTCGGACTTGCGTTTTACGTATTTTTTTGGATTATACGTAAAACGCATCTACCAAATGTGTTTAACGTATTCCATACGTCACATGAAAACGCATTTCGTAGATGTGTTTACGGTATACAATACAAAAAACGCAAGTCACATTTGCGTTTTACGAAAATAACGAAAAAAAAAATACGGCGGGACACAACCAAAAACGCAAGTGGTAAGTGAGTTTTGCATATTTTTGTCCAAAAAAAAGTCAGCACACATTTTTGTCATTTCTCTCCCCCCTCTACACATTCCTGTCATTTATCCCGTTCTCTGGGTTCGAAGGATACCCTTTCTGTCGCCGGCCCTAGAGTTGATGCTGTTAGCGTGAGAAACAGGGCACCCAAGCCTGCGTCCATCCCCGTTGGTCCCTTTCATAATTTCAGAAAGCTTGAAGGTGATGAATGCCTTCTCAAGGAGTTCAACACCAATGGCGTGGCTCGGTGGCTAACCTCGGGGTTGAAGATGTATTTGTGTTTGAAGAAGAGAAATCTTTCTGCCTTGTTGGCAGATTTGCCGGCCGTTTCCCAGGTACGAAAGCAGTCGAAGAGCTCACTGGTTCATGGGGAGTGGACTGCCGGCCGTCACGACTTTGCATGGAGGTTCACCCGGAGGTCGTGGCTTTGCATGGTCACTCGGAGGCTGTGGTTGAGCCTAGGGAAGGGTCGGGATCATTGCCCATGGTTCAGACTGTTGATCGGAGGTCACTTTGTAAGAC